CTTTTGAATTTGAGGCATTTTAGAAGCTCTTTGTGCAGCCACATTGGTCTCTTGCCATTCTTTTTGTGCTTCCATCACTTTGGGGGAGTTTCTTGGGCTTCCAATATTGTGCCCCTTAGAAGCTCTCAGCCCCCCCCGTGCACCTTTATCTTTCAATCTGTCCTTCCATGACACCATGCCATCATTGAGTTGGATGAAATCTGCCTTTTTGAAACCTAGCATCCTAATTTTGCTGACCTCCATGCTTTCCTGTCTCAGGATCTGGAAACTTGTCATACTGTGGTCACTTCCTCCCAAGCTACCCATCACCTCCACACCAGGTCTTTCCTGTTGGTCAAGAAAAGATCCAAGATAAGATGATCCCCTACTTGTATTTTCCATTTTCTGGAAGAGAAAATTGTCCTCTGCACAAGTTAGGAACCGGCTTGGCATTTTATGTTTAGCTGTATTGTCCTTCCAGCAGACGTTTGCAAAATTGATGTCCCCCATACCTTCCCAGGTGAAATGACATCTTTGTCATCTTATTACTTGGACGTTCTTGAGCTTTAAACTAGAGATGGACTGATCTCAAGGGCTGGGGAAGTTTGTTGCTGAAAAGCTTCCTGCAATTTTGACTTGGGGGTTTATTAATGTAGATTTCAAGCAGGTTTTCTCACAAGACTCCTGGTACAACCCGGTTGTGATCATGCTGCAAAGACCCCAAATACTGATGTGTATATATGTGCATCTGCATGCACACTTGCACATATGGTATTTCAGCACTTATGTTTACAGGGCTGCCTGTTATCCCAGAGTTGTTATACGTACGCACATGCACACACAACTAAAATTAAGACAATTTAGCCAAACTTTTCCCAAACTGAGAAAAAGTCCCACTTGGAGTGAAAGCTTAGCACAGTTTCCTGTCATTGAAACCCATGCAATCATTCCTTCTCTAAAAACCAGGGATTTTCCATGAACATTTTCTTCAATTCTACAGTGGTCTTATTCCACTGACTACAAAAGAATAGCCCCTATGTAAAGCAGTTTTAGTGAGAGAAAAAATCAGGTACAGCCTGCCTAAATGTGCGTGTTGAGGAGGTACTTTATATACATTCATACTGCTCTTGAGGGCTGGAAGTTCCAGTCTCCACTTTAGTTTAAAAAATGAAGCCAGTTACAGCTAGAGATTTTGTTTCCCTGGGCTGTGATTTTCATGTGGTTGCATTTCTGCCTATAATGCATGTGCAGATGCAGTTTAACACCTGTTACTTGGGTTAGGTTGGTGGTTTTCTAGCCTAGATGCGAGACTTATAGCTGTGCTGCATCGCGGTATAATGCCGTGCTGATTGCTCATGTGGACATATGATACTGAAGCAGTAACGGAGGCCATGCGAACTTCGGTTCTGTGACTTCTGTTGAGATGGGCTGTGGATTCACAGCAGGGTATAATTTAATGTGTATTTCAGTCAAAAGTCTGGCGTAGGGAAAATGGAGTGGCACAGAAGGGGCTTTCGAGCAACTTAAAAATGCCTTGTCTCTAAACCTGATTAGCTTGAGAGGGAAGTTAAAATTAGGCACAAAAAATGGATTAATCTTTTTTTAAATTAAGGTGTCATTTTATTGGATAGTCACCAAGATGTGAATGTTAAAGTTGACCTTGTTTTGTTTGATTTTTGCTTTAAGCAAGAGTGCAGTGATGTAACTAGAATTGCTTTGGAAAAAAACCCATGTTCTAGCAGCAAAAACAACGGTCTGTTTGCCTGCTATTCAGGGTTCCTCATCCAGCCTTGTCTCTGCTTTCTTGGGTATCTCGCTGCGCTTCAGGCTCAGCCTCCGTCAAATGGAAACACTGAGATAACACTTCCCTTCCTCGCAGCTGTTGTGAAGCTCAGTTAACTAATGTTTGCAAAGCAGTGGGATGGGAGGCTGTTTAGGAATACAAAGCATATTATTATAGCTGACTAGATATCTTTATGGCACAGGATTTGGTTTCTGTTCCTGTCTGCTTCATGTAAGCTACCTTTTGTCCGACTGGGTGGGGAAGTCTGGCGAAGTGTCTGACAAAGCAGGCGTAGTCGTTCTTTCCCTCTTCTTCGCAATCCGACAGAGCTCCAAGGGCCTATACCCACCGCCAGGACTGGATGTTGCAAAAGGCTCCTTTCCCCATTTAGACGTCTAAATAAGATCACGGTTTTCCAGCGTGTGCACCTTCCACTACAACACGGGTGGCTTGGGTTTCAGAAGCTCTCGGCACCCAACGTATTGGAAATTCAGTCACTTATTTTGCTGAAAACTCTCGGCCATAACACAATGGCTGAGAGACATCTCTGGCTGCTGCGATGTAGTTCAGTGTAGTCTCCCTGATAACCTGCCGTGGCTGCTGCAGCATCAAGCCTGCGACCCAGGTGAGTCGCGTGGACACCACATTTCTTTTCCCTGCTCCGAACAGAGCAGAATTTTTATCTCCCCACCAGTGCGAGCACACCTGCTTTGCACGCTATTTCATGCTGTCACAAACCTCGTTGTAAAGAAGGGAGTTCAGTGGGGTTCTGGTCTATCAAACCCTGTTGCAATAAAGCTCTCTTCTGAGGTGGTGTCTGCTTTAAGGTGGTGCATTTTGCATGTCCCAGCTTATTTCAGAGCCTAATTTTTTTGAAATAATTCCCTCTGTAATAATGCAGGGGCGGGGGCAGGAATCTTGTTTTATATGGAAAACGCCTTGACGGTCTGTAATTATTTCATTACAAAGTCTTTTGCTAGAACAGCCTCCTTTCCCTGGGAGCAAAAGACCCAGAGACCAGCTGCTATGACCCTCCTCAGGAAAAGCTTACGATATGATAAAGGAAACAGCAGGACAGAGAAACCAAATAGTAGCCCCGATCCTATGGGAAGATTTGCTCCCACTGGGAAGGCAAATGCTTTCCTCTCAGTGTTAAAATTCAGATTGCTTTGCAGTTGTATTTGCCACTTATATTTTTATTCCCCCCCACCTCCAATCAGGTTTTCAGAGCAGGGCTTTAATGAATCACAGAAGGGCTCTCTCAGTTCCATAATTCAATATGGTAACAGTGACTCATTGAGTTCAGAGTATATGTGGGAGGCAACAGTTTGCTTCCTAAATCGATGCAAGAATTACTGTGTCTAAAAGCAACATCTAGATCTCTATCTTTCTCCCCTCTTTTTTTTACCCCCCTTGTGCAGTTTTGCAGCTTTGCACCTGTTTATTGTGCCACATTTCATAGTGGGGATGTAAGGGCCTTTTGTTACACATTGTACTGGGGAGGGGAGAGGAGAAAATAGGTGTGCCATGGTAAATCCCCTGCACCCACCTCTTCCTTTGTAGTCTCAGGCAGTGCCAAAGAAATGGAGAGTTCCTCTGTTCTCCTACCCAAGACTTCGTACACATGGTGGAGCCCTGAGCAGGTAGCTGGCAGCTCACTGCCCTCCAAGAAGATCCTGGTAGAGAAAGGCAGGGAGGAGTTTCTGGGACATGCTACACTCTGACTTTGCCACCCAGTCCCTCCCTGGGAGACCATTGCAAACTGCTGTGGTTATAGCAGCTCCTCCATTACTCTGATCTTTGCCCTGGGCTGAGCAGAGTATCCAGGGACTGTAATCCAGCCCTTTGAGCTCTGGCACTTCCCTCTACAGCAGGCAGGAATTGGCTGGAGCGAAGTACGTGGCCTCATGGTTGCCGCGTTGATCAGACCATGCAGAAGTGTGAAGGGAGGTAGCTCAGTTTGGTGTCTCTCTGTGACTACTGAGTGAATCATGGGCTCGGGTTGAATTGTGGTTACAAACTTTGGTGACAGTGTGATTTATGGTTTTGCACAGAAATGAAATAATTTGCATGTGGGCATCTTACTCAACAGCCTGAATTTTTGAATTGCTCCCTGTTTCCTTTTACTTGCCAACCCTGGATGGATAGCCAGAACCAGTCCTCGTTGTAAGAAAATAAAGGGAGGATGCAGGGCACAGGGGGTTAAATTTTCTGGGAAATGCAGGCCGGCACAGAAATGCCGGTATGTGGGCACCAACCAGGCCTTGCATCAGATGAATGAACTTGTGAGGAGTACAGGGTTGATTGCCTGACACATTGCACTGAAGCAAGGAGTAAGGTGACCCATTTTTGCTTAGCTGAACTGACTCATTCAGCTTCATCTGACAGCCCACATCCCACGGTAACCGTACTGCTTGCTAACGCTTTCCACTGGAGGTTATCGGGATCCCGTAGTCTAAGGATCAGAGAGGCTAATAACCCTTTTCCCTTCTCTTCCCCCACGAATAACAAATACTCAAATGTTCTTGACTCAGCGCAGTATTTTCCTTTCTGCCTGCAGTGTCGCACTTAAAGAGAGGGTCCTTGAGTCCCCCTAGCAACAGTGGAAGGTCAGTGAACATAAATGTGTAATTTTTGGTAATCTCAAACAACAAGGTTTGTACTGGAAAGGGCACTCAGCTTTGATTTTATGCTGCATTGCTGAGTGACAACATGGTTCAGTAGACAAGAGGACCGGGGTGCTATTTCAGCTAGCCTTCGGGGTGACCTTGAGCAAATCTCTTCCATGCCTCCATTCAACCTGGTTATCTGTACTGGCCATTGAGACTGTGAGTTCCTTGGGGCAGGGACTGTCTCTCGCTACATGTCTGCATAATGGCCAGCAAAACGGGACTGTGGTCTATGTGGAGTTATCTTACTGCTGCCAGAATAACAATGGATTTTTTCAGCAAGTGTCTGTATTTGTGGAAAGTGAAACTCGCTCCTGGGCACCAGGACAGTGCCCCTGAAATAGGCTGTAAGGGGATACATAGGTCGTTTTCTGACCCTCCATATAGGCTGGATTTCACCCAAAAGGCGAAACCTCTAATCACTTTGTTCCAGATCTCTCGCCCTGCATTTTGAGGTCTCCAGGTCAGTTCCTGGCATTGGCCAAGTTGTTGGCCATCACATTTACTTGCTGTGACAGTGAGGGCTGAGGTAATAATACATATATTTATCTTGACTTTTATTGTTTCAGGTGAATATGGCACTGATGGGGAAGACCTCTGATGGGACCCTCAGTAGCTCCAGACCAGACCAGTGGCATACAGCTTTTCCTCAGAAGGATGAAATCATCACCAGCTTAGTATCTGCCTTAGATTCAATGGTAAGTGAAGACAGCTGAAAAAGAGGTCATCTTCCCACTTGCCTGCTTATAGCACTTACAGATGAGTAAGGAACTGTTCCTGGTTCAGGATAAGGTAGAAAGATGGAATGGGCTGAAATTGGATGATACATGCTGGAGTCATCCCCAATGGACCATGGTGACCAAAAAGGAAACCAAACAATTTCCCCAAACAAATTGGGCCTGTTTAGTTTCAAGTGACTGTTAACAATTATATTAACAGCAATCAGAGAGGGTTTGATGCTGTCTGCCTTCATGAGAGAAGATCAAGGTGTGAGAGCTTCATCCCTGCCATGAAACCATTCTGCCATCCAGCAGCTCATTTTACATTAGGTTAATTGGGTCAAGTGAAAGCTGGATTTGGGGGGGAGGGTATTGAGTTCATCACAATCTGCTCTGCTCCGGTAACGCACGTCATGCCGTTTGAACTGTGAAATGAAAATCGCATCCCTGTACTGACAGTCATAAAGGATCATAAAGTCAGCTAAAGTTAATCTCAAATGTGTACTGTTTTCCTATTAATATTTATGTTTGTATCAACGGATTGTATTTTTCTTGTTGTTTTACCACTGTTACTGTGGGTTTTTACACAACAAGGAAACAATGGCTTTTATCTCTGAGAACAAAGAAAATAACTTTCATATCTTTTGACGTAAAATTCCCAGTAGAGATCTTACATCAGTCAGCCTCACTTACATAAACAAGATAACTGTCTGGATAAGTCTCCTGGACCAGAGATAATCTTATTTCTGACTGTGAATGTGATCAGGAAGGGAAAGAATGTGAGTACATGTGTGTATGAGTGTTAGCATGCACAGGAAAATGTAATGAACTAAATATCTCTCCCATATAAATCCTTTTCTTACAAGATAGACGTACGTAAGTATATACCTCACTTCTGGAAATTTAGAGCCCTGTTCAGGCATAGTACCCTAGTGCTAAAGCACTCCAAACCAGTAGTCACTTTTGAAAATCCTGGCCATATACACACTTTTCACAGCAGTAATGCTAAAAACACCACCAACAAAAAAGTTCTTCTCCACAGAATGCAATTACAACAAAGTGCAGAAAGTGGAGGAGGCTAATGGAGGGAAACTGCATTCTCTCCTCCTCCTGCATATGTGCACACATGGTTTATGCCATTCCTGTAGTTATACAATCTGCATATTTGAGCTGTAAGAGGCAGGTATGCGGTTCAGGTGAAGGTGAGCTAACATGGCAAATATGTATTCTGCTGTTTTCCATTTTTAGTTTAACTGTTGTTCTTCTAAGAAACTGTTTCCACATAACTAAGCTAGGGTGATCTAATGCAGAGGTTCGCAACCACCGGGCCGCAAAGGTTTGGCTGCTGGGTCATGGCATGAGCTTTAACCTGCCTGCTCCGGCTCAGACCCCTGTCTGTCCACCCAGGCAAGTGGCTTCTGCCGCTGGTAGTCGCGTGCAGGGTTAAAGCTGGGTGGCGGGGCAGCTCTGGGAAGGAGGCAGCTGGCTCCATGTGCCCCATCCCACCCCTAGCACCATGGCCGTGCCTGGCGAGGCACTGCCTGTGCAGCAGGTACCAGGGCCCACGCTGAGCCAGGCAGGACTCCCCAACCCCACCTGCAGCTGGGATGCAGGTGGGGAAATGCCCAGGGCAGAGGCCGGGGAGGTGGCTCTGCTGCTTGCTCCTAGGGAAGGCAGCAGGGCCCCCTCTTCCTGGCAACCCCAGCTGGGTCCCCCCCGGACAACCGCCTGTGCAGCCCCCTCCCCTGCAGGGTCCCCTGGTGCCTGCTGCTCTGGTGCCCCAACCTGATCCGATCATTGCAACCCCCTACCCCTGTAAAAAAATTAAATTTAAATATGCAAATTAAATTTAAATATGTAAATTAGATTGTTTCTATACCCAGTCCACCAAAATTCTTTGAGTGAGTTTGCCGGTCTGCAGCTTAAAAATGGTTGGGAACCACTGATCTAATGACAAGGTCATCCTGGAAGTGCTGCATCTGTCTTTTAGTGGGGCATATCACAGTTATCTTGCAGACTCCTGTGCATTTGAAGTCTTCTGTGCTGTTGGTCTTTTTTTAAGTAGAATGAAGGTCTTCTCCAGAGAACTGGTGAAAGCGCCTCCTCTAGAGGCATTTAAAAGTACAGCAGAAAGTGGGGTTGTGACTAGGAACTTGGGAGATTTGGGTTCAGTCCTTGGTTCTGCCACAAACTGTCCTATGGGACTTTGGGCAAGTCACGTAGCTTTGCACTCAGAAAGCTGTTTACCAGTAGGTGCCTCTATCTGATGCAAGCGCCCAGGCTCTTATTGATTTCAATGGGAGATAAAGCACCAAGGAGGAGGTAGGTATCCAGATACCTTTGTGGATTTGACCCTTAGTTCCTATTTGCTTCAGTTCCTCAGTTCTGTAAAATGGGTATAGCAATCTCTTGCATCTGTGTCCATTTAAATTGTAAACCCTTGAGAGCAGGTTCTTGCCGTGTGTTTGTATAGCAGCAAGCATAATGCGAGTCTGGTTTCAAATGGGACTTCTAGGCACTGCAAGAATGCACATGACGATGATGAAGATAAATATTTTTGGTAACAATGAATGAAACAAGAAAATCTGAGAGATCTTTTCCATCCCTTTATTGTCTTGACTAAATACTGGTACACAAGAAAAATCACTTGACCAATGAGGTCTTTGATCCCGAACACGCACAATGTTTAATCACTGGAGTAAAATTTTCTGCAGGTCCAATTGTATGAGAATTGATGAAAAATTTTAAATTGTTTTTCATAGGAAAGTTTAGCATTTTTTAACTGCTATGAATAGCTCACTTTTTAAAACAAGTTAGAACAAAAAACATTCCTGGTAAATATCTGCAGTAATTGGTGGTAATTTTTTTTTTTTTTGAACTCTCCGAACTGAAAATTTTTATTGAAAGTTTGCTGTCAGAACAATTCCAACTTTAGGATTTTCCCTGGAGAAAATAAAACATTTTGACCAAAAAAGAAATGTTCGCTTTGATGGAAAGGACGTTTTACACTTAAAAAAAAGAAAAGAAAATCCATTTGGCTATATTTAACAAGCTATTATAGAACACAAACAACTTATTAAATATGCATGAAAGTGACAGATGACAATGTGAAAAAATATGACGATTTACATTGGTGCTGTACTAACCAAATGCTCTTCCCTTCTCTGCAGTGTTCAGCACTTTCCAAACTAAATGCCGAAGTAGCCTGCGTTGCTGTTCATGATGAAAGTACCTTTGTTGTTGGCACAGAGAAGGGGAGAATGTTTATGAACTCAAGGAAAGAGCTGCAAACAGATTTTCAGAAGTTCTGCCGTAAGTATTCTCCTGGACTGTGTTAGAATCCAAGCACGCGGCTGTTTCCATCTGATGGAAATCTGCAAAATGTTTAATCTGTGGTGGGGAGGTGCATTTCAAGGGCCTTCAAATGCGTTCAGATTGAAGTTTTACTTGCATTGAGGCATAAGCGGGCCTTAGTATAAGGGTGAATGTGTTCTTTAGTTAAGGGTGTTTGAACTGCACTGGAACAGACAACTTGTATTCACTATATTCCTCTTCCCTTGGGATCCCCGACATGACCATTCAAATAACGATGCACAGACTGGGCCAGCTTGGTGAGTGGAATGGATCTGGGATGAGGGGGCGCATTTTTGAATTTCCTTGTCGCAGAGGCTCAGCAGGACACTAGTGTCAGCAAGGGAAAACCCCAGCAGGCAGATGGAGAATCTGATGAACAGCACAGGAGATATCCACTCCTCCACTCGTCTTCTGTAGCTGTACTTACTGCGTCAATGTCCAGCGCATCCTTGTAAACCTCTGTAGCAGGTGAAGGGACTAAATGGATATTGGGAAAGGTGGTGGGATCCCTGCCAGACCCAGCCCCAAGGGTCTTCCCCTCCGAAGGTCATTTGAATTATAGCTTCTCCTAGAGAAATCATTTTGCCTAGCAGGAACCAGGAAACAGTCCTGATAAGAGAGCAAACTTAAGGACTTAGGCTCACAAAAGGGCATGTTTCTTTTCAGTTCCATGATACCATGGTCAGATCGAGCTACCCTGACTTGGGGTCTAGAGGCTAAAGGAAAGGCAGTCCCATCTGCAGGTGTTTCTTCCTATGGGATCAAGCTGACAATAAAATGTATACCTTGGACGTACAGGTTCTAGTTCTGTTTCAGCAAGTCCCACAAGCCTCCACTTTATTCACCTGTCTTTTCCAAGAGCCTTTTTCACTGGTGCAGAAACCACAGGTAGCAGTTACCTTTTAAGGACAAGAAAGTAACCCTGTGGCCCATTCCCCCCTGCAACCCTCCCACAGTCTCAAGCCACTTTCCCTTCCCAGCCCCCTTATGGGCTTCGGAGAATTGCTTCTCTTTCCTCCTTCCAGCAAGTTAAGGGAAAACCCAGCCATAAGCCGTGGCCCTAAAGATCTACCAGGTTTAGGTGAGAGAGATCACTGGTCGTCTACCAAATTCTCTGTTTGATATACTCAGCTCAGACACAGAGTGGTAGGAATAGGCATAAGGAAAGAGCTTGGCAGTTGTGTTTTTTATGAGGTTAGCAGTTCTGTAGTTAGGAGCACAGATTTATTCCTTGAGATTTATAGGATGGTGGCCACCAAGGCAGAAAGGTCCATCTGAAAAACCCTGCATTTAATGACAGTGTTAGTTGAGCCCTGGGCATCACACTGAGCTTCCGGGAGGGGGCGTTCTTTGTGTGCTGGCATGTGAAGTGTCTCGCTCCTGTAAAGAAGTGAGAGCAGAGTTATACTCCATCAGTATTATCTCATCTTCTCTGTACCCACCCAGAATTTTCTTCACTGCTAGTCACATCCCATCAGTGCCGGATCGGTGGACATGTCTCAAGTAAGAGGGGAAAATTTCTCTTATCTGTCAATTTCTTTTTTCTGAGATTGCACTATCACTGATCCAGACCCATCCTCGGTTTTGGGTTTGGGATATTGTCTGCTCTAATCAGACTAAATCATACATAATGCTTAGCACTGCATGCCTGGCTAATTAAGTTAACAGTTTCAGAGTTTATGTCATGATCGGTGTTTTGGCTTTTGGAGGGCTCTGGCACGCAGGAAGTGAGCAAGCCTCTAACAAAGGGCAGCTCGTGACTGACAGCCTGTCTGCCTCTGCGCACTGCAGGGAAGGGACCCAGCCTATCAGTGCCAGATCAGTGGATTTGCAGTCTCTTAGAAAATAAATTGACAGGTAGGAGACATTATCCCTTTCTCTTGCAATCCCGGAGAGAAGATGAAATTGCACTGCGCCACTGTGCATTGCACCCCGGCGTAGGAGCAAGGTCAAAGCCTTCTCTCCTCCAGCCGGTGAAGCAGTGTTGCCACCTCATCATCTCCCCGCACCCTTTTCTCTTTCCCATGCTGTTTCCTGAAGGAGCCTCGTAGCTGATGTTCTCGTATGCCTGTTCTGTCCTTTGGCCAGCAGGTGAAATGCTGTAGTGCAATGCAATGAAGGTGCAAGGGCTGTGGAGAGGAGGCAACTGCAAGAGTGAACAGGTGGCCCCTGCCCTCCTGCTAGGAAGCAAGGCCCCTGCTATGTAACCTTCACTCTCATTGCTATGAGCCCTAGATCCCAGCTCTGCACTCAGGCCAGTGCTGTGCTCTCACTATCCCTTTGCAAGCACAAGGGGAAAAATGTTGGTAGGAAGAGAGTTTACCTGTGCTGCCTAATCCTGGACTCTGTGTAGTAAATAACCTCAAGCGAGCAAGCTACTGTGGAGCTGTCGCTCTGAATGATGCCTTCCTTTTCATGCAGGAAAGCAGGCCCTGCAGGTTGGTAGGTTGCTTTGAGGACACGCTTCAGTACATCATTCACTCTCCCTGGAGCTGCCAGAAGGTGGCACCGCCCATGCTTCATGTTCCAAGCCAAGACAAAAGAGCAGTCAAGCCCCAGGCACTCAGTAGCTCTTGATGCATCTTTGTGCTACTGCCCTTCTCCAGTTCTCACATTGTAAAGCTGCAGTGTGCCATCAGCCTCAGTTTCCTGCTTTTGATACATGAGTGCTGGATGCTCTGCTTCCAGTGGGCCATAAGGCAAGGAGGGGCTCGAGGTGTTAAATCCATTCCCCTCACCAGATGACAGCCCCTGAACTCAAGCACTGTGTCTTCATGGAGCCAGATGCTTGAAGCAGGGAGTAGACTTCATGGGTCTAGAAGGGGTTTCTGTGCTGCACTGCAACCAGGATGGTGCAAGGAGAACACAGGAATTCAGGCACAAACGGAAAGCAGCCTTTTGTGTGTGTGCTGACTGCAGTATATATGACAGCCATACATATGACTGCAATACATATTAGGTGGAAAACATAAGCAGCCTCTGTATGCATGTGCATGTTTGGTGCTGATGGGAACCATATCTGTGGATAATCCATTGGAGAAACTGCTCAAGAACAGTTCATTCTAGTAAAAATATTAGTCCTGTACAATTGCCAGGGCCAGCATCTGCTTGGATTATTTGCTGCATATGTTCTAGCCATACCAGTAAGACTTGCTTGGGGTCTAGTCTAGCTTGTGCGCTTGGCTTTGTAGAAGGCTTTGTATGTCGGTGCACTCATCTGCTACCCCCTTTCTTTTTTCATTGTGGGGAGGCTAAAATTTGTTTTACTTATTCACTTGTTCACTTACTGTGATTGAAGAAATCCACTTTTGGTCATGATCCATCTCAATTCATTTAATGTTGCAACTGAGCTTTCTACTTGGCACAAGGTGCTTGGCGAGAGGTTTCTAGATTTGCAGAAGTTCACGTCTTGTTTGCACCATGTATGTGGGCAAATTCTGTATGCTGTATGTGGAAGATAAGAGGCAGTGAGAGAAGGTACGCTATGCAAGGAATGGCATAGTCTGTAATAGGAAGCTAACTGTTACATATTAAAAAATCACCTGTGGTCATTCTGTAGCTCTAGCCTGTCTGTCTGCCCAGCTATCCAAATAGCCTGGTGTTGGATCAAAGCTAAATCTACGCAACAGAGGCCACTAAGGCACAGGACATTAAAGCCAAACTCTTTTCCCATGGATTGAATTCCCTTTGTCACACGAAAAGGACCATAACACTGTGGTGCAAAATATGTTTTCACAATGGAGTTCTGAGGGAATGCCTGGTACTCAAGAGGCAGATGAAATCTGATAAGTCTGTCTTGAATTACAAATGGCCAAGGCTTCACTCCTCTACAGAAAGCTCTTCCAAGTGGCAGGTGTTGTAAAGCATCCCTGAAAATGCTTCTGATTTATAGTGTAGTTGCCCCTTTCAAAAGGATCTAAAGTAATCTAAATCAGACATCAGTGAATGATAGGAGAAACCTCTTATCTGCTGAACAGCATTTCTCTGCATGCACAGACCTCACTTCAACACACATTTTTATCTGAAACTCTAGCACAGCCCTTCCTGACATGCCAAGGGGACTTGACAATTATAAAGATTAATGTTAATAGAAGAGACTTTGGGGCCTTGGTGAAAGGTGGGGAACCTTATAAGGGTGTGAGTTCAGAACCGCTTCTTGGCCCTTGTAAAAGGTTCAGAAAACTGATGAGAACATTTTCCCCACAGCAGCATGGAGCAAGTTAGAACATCATGTGGTAGGAAAGGGTGTCTCGAGGAAAGTCTCAGGATAATGAAGGGCTAGAGCTGGATAGACCTTCAAGAGTGTGGCAGCCAGCTCAGGTCTCTTTCTTAGCCTCCTGTCTTTGCCTTTCAGGATCCCATGCTGTTCTCTGTCCTGCTGATTGCAGATTAAGTTTTTTCATTCCTACATTATCATAATTTGATCTATAAGTAGCTCTTTGGCTGTCATGAACGGCTTTACTAACATAGGGGCTAGGCCTTGCCCAGGCGTCTTTAACTTCTGTTCAAGTCAGAACCTCCCAGCAGATGCTTGGCACCACCTGGCCCTGGGGCCCTGTTTTGCACTAATATCAGACAGCCAGATTTCCCTTCTCTACTCACCACGGTGTAGAAACAGCTCAAAGTAAAGGCACAGTAGTTTGAGAATGGCAAATTTCAATTGCAGATTGCATACACTAGTGGCAATGGGGAGTAATAGGTGGAATTAATTGCATGCACAACTAGTGAATCAGGCGCGTGGATAACACCCCCTGGATGATCCTTATCTTGTGGGGATGCAGATGTGGAGCTTTGCACTGAGTTTAGCATCTGGAAGGGGATCCATACACACCACTGAAAGGAGGAAGATGTGGAAGCAGCTCACTTTTCTTTCTTGGTCAAATAGTGACTCTGGTCAGTGCCTTTTATAGCAGAGGTGCTGAGCTTCAGAAGAAGCTGTCCCTGCCCCCTTGCCCACA